ATCTGAATGGAGCCATGCACCAGGCTTAAATATAAAAGGGTGAGAGTGACTTTGAAAACAAAGGGAAAGAACCAAGAAAAAGTTGCAGACGGACGCGAGGAATAGGCGAAAACTTTCGACACGGTTCAGAAGAAAGATACAGAAACCATCTGAAATCTGTGTAACATCATTTCATGAGTGGATGGAGGAGGAACAAGGAGCATATGGAGGATAAGAACAGAAACAACTGGCTTTTTCTGTTACTTCTGACTTTAAAACAGCCCAAATCTGATCAGCATGCACATAAGATATGATGGGTGTAGTTACCCCAGTTACCCGTGCCCACATTCACATTTTTAATACTCTAACTTGCTGTTCAGTGTCTCAGTTGTTTATTTATTTTTTACCAAAAATGTGTAAAACAGCCCCTAAATGCTCTGTAGTCCTGCTCAATCTTTCTCAACACGCATTTCCCACTGCATCACTTTCCTTTCCTTTCCTTTCCCCTCAAGTAAAGACTCCCAGTGTAGAGCCCATCCTTTTGACTGACTGTGTGCTGACTGCAGTGCACCACTTCCTCCCCTGTCCCCTGTAGAGCGACCCCAGCGGATGAACAACATCCTGACCTCAGCCACGGAAGCCTACGACCTGTCCCTGTCCAGATCCTTCCAGAACCTGAGCCATCTGCCGCCTTCCTACGAGCTGGCCCTCAAGTCTGACTTAAGTAAATACTTTCCACAGATCTAGCAAGTGGTCCTTCAGTCGTCCTCCATCACTGTCATACCTGATACGCTGCAAAAACAGGCGATGACATCACCCTCATGTCGGGCCTGTGCATTAGAGGTTGTACTCGATTCACCGATGAAACATCTCAATGTCCATTACAGAGACATGCATCATGATAACTACCTCCAGATGTTTGTTGGCTCATCATACAGATAGTACTCTCACTTTTCACCTTTTTAGGGAAATAAACTTTTTAAAATGCATGACAGCACGCTCAGAGGCTCCACGCTCATTCCCATCCACTCATCTGTCGGCTCATAGACTGACATCTAATTGGCGTGTAATTTAGTTCCATCTGTGGCCCATGTCATGTTGCTAATGTCTCTTAATGACATATTAAGAACCATTTTTTTCAGCTGAATGGCTTCTATACAACAACTGGATGGCACTTTAATGTCTCGCCAATACTACAGTTCATTATCCTCATGGTGACATTTTCAGTTTGATGATAACGTGGACGCTGCTGCTTTAACCTCCTGACCGGTGCATTGGCCACTGGTTCGTAGGATGGTTTCATGTGATGAGTCAAGTTTTTCTTCATTAAGCCACAAGTTTCCACCTGTGTGGAAGCTCTTTCCTAAATGACAGTAAATTACATTTACCTTTATTGCACAGCAAGATGGGACATGAGGCGTGAACAAGAAAACAAACAGGAAATCTCGACTATTTATGAATTAAAAAATGTTTTAATGCGATCTTTAAATGAAGCTGTTTATTTAATGTTATGTTTATCTTGTGAATTAATTCAATCCCAGGTCATTAAACTGCAGCTTTGCTCATTTCTAGGCCGGGCACGTGGATTGTTAGGGTCCATTGAGTTGACATATTTAGTGAGATTTTATAATCAAATATTGATTGCATATAGCCTTATTCATGCTTGACGTTTCTGGGGCATGTTTCCATGTAGCCAAAATTAATCAAATTCAACAACTGCATTAAAAGTACCTCGACACATTTGTATCAACATAACGTATAAATGTTTTTCTGTTGCGTTAAAAAGGATACACATGCATCTTCCATACAAAATACAGTTTTTGTTCCAGCAGCTGTCGGGGAAGACACATTTTTCCTTACTCACTGAGTCACTGCAGATCTTTAGGTCTGTGTGTCCTTGGCTTTGCAGACAATTTCACAGCAACCACCTATAACCTCCAGCAACTGCTTTTTCTCTAGCAACTGGTTGCCAGGCAGTTGCCAACCAGTCTCTAGGCCTGTGTGAGTGGGGCATTAAATAGTTCAATTCAATTCAATTTTATTTATACAGC